AGTATAGTTGTGTTTATTTTAGAAATAAGTCAACCTGTTAGTCCAGTAATAGTGGGTGTGATTGGTGTCTTCTGTGGTATAATAATCATGGCAATATGTACAGGCTGTGTCGTCTTTTTCTACCGTTTTATTAAAAGGTATTTTTTTTTAAAATAAATATTTTTATAATTGATTGACTATATAAATATAAAATTTGTAACTCATATAATCAGTTATTTTATTTTAGTATGTTAGTGGTTTCCCCTTGTCAGTGGTGCAGGACGGAGGGCCTGACAAGGACAGCTGTCTAGTCCTTCGGATGGGACGAAAATCTGAGGTCCCGTGTTCACATAGGCGTGCACGTAAAATATCCCTTGGCAGTTGGAATTCGATATAAGACTAGGCCATAGCGCCGCTGCCCGGGCAAAATTTCCCTCATAGTACACTGTAAGTCTGTCTTCAGTAGCCCAGTTTAGGAGCAGAACAGTAGCATGTTAAACCCCAATTCATTTCATGTCATATCTAAATTTCAGACAACACTCTGTTAAACAGGAAGACCATATTTACAACGATGTTATCTTGCTTCCTGAAACACCATGTACCAATATTAGAACAACGCCATCTAGTGTTCAGTACGAAAACATATCCGCTCCAACTGATGTAATTCCGGTAGATATAGTAGTAGAACATGATACATTAGACAGAACATTAAACGGTACGGATCATCAATATTCAGTAATCTAAACAGACTATGCTTTGTATCATCATAAGACTAATATCGTTTTCAAGGCTTAGATTCAATTGCACTCGTACAATTTGTTACTCTCGGCACCCCCGAAAAAAATGTTTTGTCCCCCCCCCCCACCACCACCGAAAAAAAAGTTGCCGACCATAGATCTAAAATACCTACTGTAGACTGTGCCCCCCCCACACACACACCTAAAACAATCACTGCCCTTCCACAGCCAGACGCGGGTCTGCTCAGCACCTCCTCCCATTTTTATAAAAAAGGAAACATCACAGCTCGTCTGTCATATTTATGTTAATATATTCATCCTATCGATAGAACGAGTACAATGCACTGTCAAAGCCAAGTATATATAAATAGTTTGTATTTGACTAATAATGTTATATTTTATTTCATTGTTCTATATTTGACTAATAATATTATACTTCATTATGCTTAATACTATTATATTTTTTTTCATTATGCTAATGATATTATATTTTATTTCACTAATAATATTATATTTTATTTCATTACACTAATAATAATCATATTTTATTATGCTAATAATATATTTTATTTCATTATGCTAATAATATATTTTTTTTCATTACACTAATAATGTTATTTTTTCATTATGCTAATGATATTATATTTTATTTCACTAATAATATTATATTTTATTTCATTACACTAATAATAATCATATTTTATTATGCTAATAATATTATATTTTATTTCATTACACTAATAATGTTATATTTCTTTATGCTAATAATATATTTTATTTCATTATGCTAATAATATATTTTTTTTCATTACACTAATAATGTTATATTTCATTATGCTAATAATATTATATTTTATTTCACTATGCTATATTTGACTAATGATATTATATTGGGTTTTTATTAGTATTTCAGTATATTGTTGTTAAGAATTACTTTTTTTTTTGTACATATATGTAAAGGTAGCCAAATTCCTGATAAATATTGGCAACGAATATTTTATTATTATTTAATACATATAATACATATTGTATTGTTTTTTAATCCTTATTCCAAATATGTGGTGCATCATGTCCGTGTATCTGTTCGTGTATCTGTGCGTGGATCTGTGTGTCTAATTACATCAGTAACAGATTCAAATGTTTATTTTCAAGTCTAGTCTAAGGAATAATTAGTTGATGTGAGACCCAATAAAATCACATTGCGATATCACTCAAGGAAGAAGCGAACGTAGGACTTAAAACCCTAGGAACGAACGAACGAACAATGGTAAAAAAGCGAGAGAGAGAAAAATGGGGTTTAACGCCCACTCGACACAAACTAGGTCATTTCGGGACTAACATGGTTTAATTTTATTTCAATAATTCGCTTGCGCGTAGGGGTCTTTAGCAGTGGGAGGAAACCGGAGTCCGGAGAAAACCCACGAGGTTTGACAGGCGACCCTACTCCTTGTCACGTACAGCTGGGGATTCGAAACCACGCCCGTTGACTCAATGACAGGCCTCGTCATACAGCGCGCGTGCTAACCATTCGGCCATCCACCTCCCACCCCCCTTGGTAAAAAGCCTTGTATATTGAGTAGAGCTTGATTAGTTATGTACCTAAATATATGCTGTTATTATATATATATTTAATTTAATGTATATATTTTTAATTTAATGTATATATTTTTAATTTGATTTAATATATATTTTTTATTCAATGTACGCAACATTTCTTTAATAAACAATTATTAACTTATTTTTACGCTATTGAAATATACTCTTCAAAAAAAGTAGGGGATGTTGAAAAGCAAATTCCAATGCAGGTTGCGATATGATAAATAGTCATGGACATTTGACATGCTTTGAGAGTATGTTCACAGATGAAAAACTTATCGTCCAAACAGAAACCACTGAGCTGTACATGCGACACGCAATAGCGCCATACGTGTGTGTGTGTGTGGGGGGGGGGGGCATTGTCAAGTTTCACACTTCAAGGAAGTGCTGGTTTATCTATCCATGTTTGCTTTCCTATCGGTCCTTGCATACAATTTACTGTTTAGCGTATCTTTGCTTTAGTGTGTTACGTTTAATTTGATCGGGAGACGTGTTCGTCGACGTCAACGTCAACCGACAAGACTGCAAGAATTGGCCGTGGCACTGCAAGAGGAGTGGGTCAGATTGCCCCAAATCGTGATTGGACGGTTGATTAGGAGCATGCCACGACGAATTGTTGAATGTCTGAGGATTAGTGGAGCAATTACTCATTATTAAGACAAAAATCAAAAACGTCCATTTTCACTTTTGACGGTGTATCTTTTTGCGAGTGAAATGGGGCCGTCAGATAAGCCGCCCATATGAACTGTTTATGTTCATGTGTAGGCAAGTGGCTTATTATTAACATACACTGGTTACCTCTAATATCCACTACTTTTTATGAAGAGTCTATAATAACCAGAAGATTCGTCCATTCCCGCACACAAAAATCCCGGAGACTATAACGTAGATCAGATTGTACAGATTCCCAGAATTTACGAGGAAATAGTTAAACTTTATCTATAAACATTTCTTCTTCCTTGACTCGCCCAGTGTATATCCTGTTTTGTTGATTGTTAAAGATGTATTCTAGAGTAGAATATGAAGTATTAGATTTCATGCGGCATCATGGCTCATAATTATTGCGCAAGGTTACCAAAATGAAATGAAATGGGGTTGAACGTCCTACTGTTCTGCTCCGACTGGGATAATCAAGTTGGGCATACACCAAACAGTGGGCTATGAGGGGAATTTTGCCCGGATAGCGGCACCGCGTCCTACTCTTATATCGAATTCTAACTTTCTAACTTCCAAAGTTACACGGGGTTCAGGTGGCTAAGTGGGTAAGACGCTGGCTCGCTAGCATGGAGGTCGGGTGTTCGATCCCTGCATTGGCTGAGAAAGTTCATCCAGATTTTCCAGCGTGGTCCCCCCTTGTCAGTGATGCAGGACGGAGGGCCTGACAAGGACAGCTGTCTAGTCCTTCGGGTGAGACGAAAAATCGAGGTCCCGTGTATACAATTGGAATGCACGTAAAAGATCCCTTGGCAGTTGGAATTCGATATAAGAGTAGGCGATAGTGCCGCTGCCCGGGCAAAATTTCCCTCATAGCACACTGTATGGCGTATACCCGTCTTCATTAGCCCAGCATAGGAGCAGAACAGTAGGACGTTAAACCTCATTTCATTTCATTTTCATTTCATTTCAGATTCGTCCATTCCCGCGCACAAAAATCACGGGGGCTATAGTGTAGATCAGATTGTACAGATTCCCAGAATTTACGAGGAAATAGACCTTATCTATAAACATTTCTTCTTCCTTGACTCGCCCATTGTATATCCTGTTTTGTTGATTGTTAAAGATGTATTCTAGAGTGGATGTAACGTATTAGATTTCATGCGGCAACATGGCTTATAATTATTGCGCAAGGTTACCAAATGAAATGAAATGGGGTCGAACGTCCTACCGTTCTGCTCCGACTGGGATAATCAAGTTGGGCATACACCAAACAGTGGGCTATGAGGGGAATTTTGCCCGGATAACGGCACCGCGTCCTACTCTTATATCGAATTCAAACTTTCTAATTTCCAAAGTTACTCGGGGATCACGTGGCTAAGTGGGTAAGACGCTGGCTCGCTAGCCTGGAGGTCGGGTGTTCGATCCCCGCATTGGCCGAGAAAGTTCATCCAGATTTTCCAGCGTTGTTTCCCCTTGTCAGTGATGCAGGAAGGCGGGCCTGACAAGGACAGCTTTCTAGTCGTTCGGATTGGACGAAAAACCGAGGTCCCGTGTACACATTAGCGTGCACGTAAAAGATCCCTTGGCAGTTGGAATTCGATATAAGAGTAGGCCGTAGTGCCGCTGCCCGGGCAAAATTTCCCTCATAGCACACTGTTTAGATGCAGAACAGTAGGACGTTAAACCCTATTTCATTTCATTTCCAAATTTACACATAATTTTTGGTGCCCATTTCAGACTCGATTTGCTACTTGATTTGTACTTTTGTGTATTTTTCTTTGCTATAGTATGCGAAATATAGGGTGTAACGAACCTGAAGCGATCGGGTGTCATAAAAAATATGGGGTCGGTAGTCAAGGGTCTAAAGGGTATGGCGGTCTTTACGTGCCCTGCGATGCTGACAAGGACATGTGCCTAGTACTTTGGATGGGACCAAAGAGAGAGAGAGAGAGAGAGAGAGAGATAATATTTATGAGGTCTCTCGCGTGGTCCTGCAATATTTCATTTTTAACAACAAAATAAACAACACTAGGGATTTTGATTGTCTTTATTCCTTTATTCAAATTGTACATGTTGATAGAGAGAGAGAGATTGGGTTTAACGTCCACTCGACACAAACTAGGTCATTTTGGTTTAATTTTATTTCAAGAATTCGCTTGCGCGTAGGGGTCTTTAGCAGTGGGAGGAAACGGGAGGACCCGGAAAGAACCCACGAGGTTGGACAGGCGACCCTACTCCTTGCCACGTACAACCGGGGATTCGAAACCACGCCAGTTGACTCAATGACAGGCTTTGGACTAAAAACATATTCAAACTAATTGATTTATCATAAATTTGCTTCAAATCCTTTTCAAAACATTGCAATTGTCGGGGAATACCCTGGCTATAAAAAATCGATCAAAAGAGGTCATGTTTGTGTCACGTGACTTACCTCTCTCGGTACCTAGCAACAGTGTTAAATAAAGTGTTAAATTCGGAAAATTGATCCAGTGTCTTATTTCACCTAGTGGTGGGTGAAAATTTCTTTTCGATAGATCAAAGGAATTTGCAATTCTTCATTTCTATACTTCGCCAAAATGCATTTTAAAAGCGAGTAAAACTGTCCGGAAAACAACGAAATAACCGAAAGTGTAATTAGAAAATATCACCACGAATGCATCATTCAAATAGCTGATTGGGTTAGAATGAAGTGACTTTGGCAACGTAAAGTTGGCACGTTATTCGGGATTCGGGATTCGAATAACGAATAACGAGCCAGCTCGTTATTCTTGATTCGTGAATAACGAATTACTAGTCAGCACGTTATTCGGGATTCCGGATTCGGTGCTAAAACAGACCGGCCTACCTTGCATGACTTTAGCCTTCCGCGCTAACCAGCATTTTGCACTCTCATTGGCTGTTTATTTCCTCTCATTATTTTTTTACAAAAATTTTTTTAGACAAACACCAATACCGAAAAGCCTTTTTTTGTTAAATGTGTTTAATACAAAAATAAAATTTAGATTGAACGAAAATAACAGACTGGCAGAAATTACTAAATTTATCAAACAAATATAATATAGTAATACAAAACAATATGTAAAGTTACTAAATAGCTGCCAGTTTACAATATGAAATTACAACATGTTTCCTCAAAAAAACTTTAACATAAAAATAATCAAGCAATGTTTGTGTTCATGATATTTGAAAACAACTAATTAAATCAACCTCACGCCTTGGTCACCCATCTTACCTGAAAAACAGAAAATGTTAATTAAGTTTAAACAGAAACATGGGTGTAGATATTAAACATAAATTATGCAAGAGCTAAATCTGTCTATTGCAGGTGGAGGTCGGGTGTTCGATCCCTGCATTGGCCGAGAAAGTTCATTCAGATTTTCCGGCGTGGTTTTCCCTTGTCAGTGATGCAGGATGGAGGGCCTGACAAGGACAGCTGTCTAGTCGTTCGGATGGGACGAAAAACCTAGGTCCCGTGTACACATTGGCGTGCACGTAAAAGATCCCTTGGCAGTTGGAATTCGATATAAGAGTAGGCCGTAGCGCCGCTGCCCGGGCAAAATTTCTCTTATAGCACACTGTATGGCGTATGCCCGTCTTCATTAGCCCAGGTTAGGAGCAGAAAAGTAGGACGTTAAACACCATTTCATTTCATTTCATTTATCTATTGCAGGTCTTTCTTTAGGCCTGAAATGTTATCTAAATTATTAATTAGACATTAATTAACGTATCCAGACCATAATCAACTCTCGATGTGATATTTACTGGATTAGGATCCGATTTGCTGCTCAACTTTCATTCATGATTTAATCATGAAATGGATAATCGAGACTGTGTTTTATATCGTACCGAATTTAGTAATGATGATCAAGGCTATGTCGAAATTTCAATCGCTTAATTCTCGGTTCATAGTGGAACAATTTGACTGAAATTTTCCCATAGTGTCACTTTATTAACGAAGAAACACCGCCGCAATAGTGTCACTTTATTAACGAAGAAACACCGCCCCAATAGTGTCACTTTATTAACGAAGAAACACCGCCCCAATAATCTCAAATTATTAACGAATAGTCTCACTTTATTAATGAAGAAACACCGCCCCAATAATCTCACTTTATTAATGAAGAAACACCGCCCCAATAATCTCACTTTATTAATGAAGAAACACCGCCCCAATAGTCACACTTTATTAACGACGAAACACCGCCCCAATAGTCTCACTTTATTAATAAAGAAACACAGCCCCAATAGTCTCACTTTATTAATGAAGAAACACCACCCTAATAGTTTCAGTTTATTAACGGAGAAACACCGCCCCAATGGTCACACTTTATTAATGAAGAAAACACCGCCCCAATAGTCTTAGTTTATTAACGTGATTTAACACTAGTTTGAATAAAGTAAAACACGAGAAAATATAAATGAAATGAAATCGGGTTTAACGTCCTACTTCTCTGCATCGACTTGGATAAAGAAGACGAGTAAATGCCATGCAGTGTGCTATGCAGTGTGCCATGCAGTGTGTTATGCAGTGTGCCATGCAGTGTGTTATGCAGTGTGCCATGCAGTGTGCTATGCAGTGTGCCATGCGCAGTGTGCCATGCAGTGTGCTATGCAGTGTGCCATGCAGTGTGCCATGCAGTATGTTATGCAGTGTGCCTTTCAGTGTGCTATGCAGTGTGCCATGCAGTGTGTTATGCAGTGTGCCTTTCAGTGTGCTATGCAGTGTGTTATGGGGTCATTTTTACCAGCAGTATGCTATGCAGTGTGCTATGCAGTGTGCCATGCAGTGTGTTATGAGGTCTCAGTTTTACCAGCAGTGTGCTATGAAGTGTGTTATATGGTCAGTTTTACCAGCAGTGTGCCATGCAGTGTGCTATGCAGTGTACCATGCAGTGTGCTATACAGTGTGCCATGTGTTACGATTGGTAATATATGACTATTTACATGTGTTTAATATTTTATATTCCAAATCTAACAACAGACATACTTTGACCGGGAAAATTGCGCATTCCTGCTCCAACCAAGCGTTGCGGTTAGTTCGTAATTAGAGTTTTGTAAATCGAGACTAAGGAGTGCGTCGCTCTTCGTTTCCGGTTAATAAAAAAAATAGATGTTTGCAAATATCCTCTCTCTCTCTCTCTCTCTCTCTCTTCAGGTATTTTGACAATTTTATATACTTTGTCATTGTTTAGGGATTAGGGATTAATTGTGTCAAACATTTAAACCTTTACAAGTAAAGGCCTTTCGATGATCGGTGATAGAAAATTTAGTCACCAAGGGCGTTACACCATGCCATTGATCACGTGGAAAACGGTCACTTGTGGATGTCAGGTTTTGCAGACCACTGAAATGTATGATTGTAACAACAGATTTACTGGGCATAATATCATTATCTAGATGTGTTGGAATGTGTTAACAATAAGACTTATTGTAAAAGTGTCAGTTTCTTGATGCATAATCCCTCAAATAGGTGTATGTCAATTAGCGGGAAAACATACTGTTTTCTGCGCAGCACCGCAAGTCTTTTATGCATTATGAATATTTATGAGGTCTCTCGCGTGGTCCTGCAATATTTCATTTGTAAAAAAAGTAAACAACACTAGGGATTTTGATTGTCTTTATTCCTTTATTCAAATTGTACATATTGATAAATATTAAAGGCAAACATAGTAGTTGAGATCTTTGAAGTAGAGTTAGTGGCATAGAGTAATTTGTAATTTGCCTTGATGTTTATACCCATGGACACTTTGAACAAATGTCAAGAACATATATAATTAAGGCCTTGGTCTATATTAAGGGAGATAACTCCACTTTTGTATTATGGATGGAATGTATTATTGTAGTCGTTCTTCGTTTCCGGTTAATAAAAAAATGGATGTTTGAAAATATCGTGTCTCTCTCTCTTCAGATCTGGTGGCGAGGTGGCATGTCATCAATTAGGGGATAGAACCCAAACCCTGGCCTATACAGAGCAAGCAAGGCTCGACCCAGTCTCAACTTAAAATGCACCCCGCGGCCAGGTGGGGGTAACACATGCAGTGTGCCATGTAGTGTGCTATGCAGTGTGTAATGCAGTGTGCTATGCAGTGTGTTATGAGGTCTCAGTTTTACCAGCAGTGCAGTGTACCATGCAGTGTGCTATGCAGTGTGCCATTCAGTGTGTTATGAGGTCTCAGTTTTACCAGCAGTGTGCTATGCAGTGTGTTATGGAGTCAGTTTTACACCAGTCTCTGTTTAGTCAACTTTTCGATGTACACGGGTAAATATTAGTTTTTCGTGCGATCCGAATGACTAGACATAGTTTCTGGCAGCAGTGACATTGCGAAATCTGGGTGGGAAATCCCCTAACACTGGGATCGAACCTCGTGTCTACTGAGCAAGTGGCCAGACTCTTCAAGAAACCGTGGATAACACGTATTAACTGAAAACAAAGAGCCTAGGCAGGCCCGTAACTAAGGGGGACGGGCGCAAAAAAGTTCCCCACCCCCCGCAGCCCCCTGTGAAAAAATTGTCGACCATATAAAAATAGATATACATTGTCCATCAATTTTAAAGCACCCCTGAGAACATCCCCCCCTCCCTCGTTGCCCTGAGCTAGTTACGGCCCTGAGCCTAGTTAAAGTCTAGCAATAATCAACTCACCAAATTTCTTGTTTCTCGAGGGTAAATAAACCGGCCCCTCATTGTTGCTCTTGTTGTTATACATCATCATCACCTTTTCCTGATCAAGTCTGAAGATTCGAGACCTGTCGCCTAATATATAAAAAAAACTTTCAGTGTTAAAAAACCCTGACAATACGGAGGTACAGAGGGGTGCCCAGAGATTACTCCGCGCCTCCTCCCAAAAACACTACATTATCTACATAATAACCCATACTTTCGAATGTAATCAGTGTTTTAATCGACATTTGTATCAGATGCCCTGTATTCTTCTACTGTCCCGATAGAAAAATAACTTTTATTTCAATTCAGAATGAATGGATGAATAAAACGGGTTTAAAGTCCTACTTTTCTGCGCCTACCGGGCTAATGTATACGTCATATAGTAGTCTTCTACTGTACCACAATGAATGAAACGAGGTTTAACGTCCTACTTTTCTGCATCTCCCGGGCTAATGAAGACGGGTATACGTCATATAGTTGGCCAAGAGGGAAATTTTACCCAGACAGCAATTGAGTTCCAACTGTCAACGGTTAATTTACGTGCATGTCAAAGTGTGCAAGGTCACTATTTCAATTCAGCTGACCACAGTATTGTCTATTGTCTGTCGTTCTTTGTAAAGGAACTATGTCAATTCAGCAGACCACATGACTGATTATGCTACTGCTGGTCACAGTAAAGGAACTAGAAGTCAATTCGAATCGTATATATTATTTTTATTTTACAAACCATCGGATGGCAGAGAAATAAACAGATTGAAACACCCACGAGATTTAAAGAGTTAACGATAAAATGGATAATCGGGACTTAGATTCGATTGTCAAGTACCGTTGCTACGATTAATAAACGATCTACGCTACAACTTAGCCCCGAAAAAAAGTAATTTGAATGTATTTATCTATTGGATCGAGTAAGTTATAATTATAAAGGGAATATTTCTGGATGTATTTTACTCAACTTAGTCAAAATATGCCAGATATAGTCAAAGCCAGTCAAAATATGCCAAATATAGTCAAATCCAGTCAAAATATGCCAAATATAGTCAACCCAGTCAAAATATGCCAAATATAGTAAAAATATGCCAAATATAGTCAACCCAGTCAAAATATGCCAAATATAGTCAAAATATGCCAAATATAGTCAACCCAGTCAAAATATGCCAAATATAGTCAAAATATGCCAAATATAGTCAAATCCAGTCAAAATATATAAATCAAAATATGTCAAAAGTGCCAATTTAAATTCATCTCGAAATTTGCAATATTCCCAAAACAATGGTTAAAGCATGTATATCCACTTACTTCTGCGTTTCCTCTGTAAGAAACACCCGACAACAACGACACACAGAGCAATGAGCAACACACCAAAAACTATGGGAGCAAGTATGCGGAACAAATTAACATTGGGTCGGGCTATTTCATACATAGGTCTATCGACGGCTCCTACATCTGACGAGCCTGAAACAAATAAAAATTGTTCAATATAGACAATTAAATATTTTGACTTTTCCAAGCATATCTAGTAAATTGGAAACTTTACTAGTAGTAGTAGTAGTAACGAGGGGTTGGATGGCCGAATGGTTAGCACGCGTGCGCTGTATCATACGGTCTGTCATTGATCAACTGGCGGGGTTTCGATTCCCCGGTTGTACGTGACAATGAGTAGGGTCGCCTGTCCAAAGGCGTTGGTTTTCTCCAGGTCCTCCGGTTTCCTTCCACGGCTAAAAGACCCCTACGCGCAAGCGAATGATTGAAATAAATTTGAACCATGTGTTAGTCCCGAAATGACTTGGTTTGTGTCGAGTGGACGTTAAACCCCCCCCTCTCTCTCTCTCTCTCTCTCTCTCTCTAGTAGTAACTCACCTGGACAACCCACTTTGATGTCCTTCTGTTTAACAATCGAGTTTTTAAGGATGAGTTGACAGGTGTACGGTACATTTAAATCATTTCTATGAGCTTTCATCAACTTCAACTCGATCTTTTCTGCGTAAAATCCTGGATGATCTATAACATAAATATTATATCATACTAAATATAGCCTGCTTGTCTCTTGCCCCCCCCCCCACCCTTTCCGCTGTCAACCCCTCCCTCTCTCTTTAAAATGCTGACAGAAGTTGTCCGTACCCCGCCCACCCCCCACCCTTCCAATCTCTCTCTGTAAGATACCGCCATAAGCTGCTATAGAGATCTGTCTATATCTGTCTGTACACCCCCCCTCCCCATCTCTCCCCCCATCTCTCCCTCCCTCCATAAGATGCTGACATTGCATGTTATAGACCTGTATATATCTGTTGGCACCCCACCCCTCATCTCTCTCCCTCTCTCTCTATAAGATGCTGACATAAGCTGCTATAGACCTGTCTGTATCTGTCTGTAAAAACACCCCCTCTCTCCCCCGTCTCTCGCTCTCTCTCTCCCTCCCCCTATCTCTCTCTCGCTGACACAAGCTGCTATAGACCTACCTTGTTTGATGACCGTTCTTTCAAACATGACTCTTCCTTGAAAAACAGGAAATATTGTGAAATTGTTTTGTTTTTCAAACCAATGACCGATTACTACATCCTGTGAAAGATAAATATTTGACATTTTGAACTTTCGTCCATATCTGTATTAAAGGCATGCTTACAAAATGTGTCCTCGTGGATACAATAAACTAATAATTTTATTAGGCCTAGTTTCGGCTTGGGGATTCTGCAAAATATTCAGCGACTTTCAGTACACACGGAAATATAAGAAATCGCAGCGTTTTCCCCCTGGTGAAATCGCAGTAAATTAAACGCGTTTTCGTCGGTTACATTGAATGGGTCACTAGGGTGACCCACCATAAATAAATATCTCCATATATCTCGACAGTTACGCCACAATATTTATATATATGCCAAGCCTCAAATCAGTTTCACACAATTATAGTCACTAAATAAACGATCATGTTGTACTTAATAAGCTATGACCATTAATCATGTATAAATAATAGACTGAAAACTGGTTCCCAGAGTCGTCTATAACATCCAGACACTTTTGAGTAAAAGATAGGTTACGTGCCCTTGTTTTGAAATTAGTCTCGCTTAACCAGTCAATCGACCATTCTACGTCTGATTGACAGGTCGGGATAATCAAGACTACTTTTTTACGAAACATAACAGAAAGCTAGAACAAGAAATTGAATTTAGAAATAAGCACGATAGGTAGCTCAACAATCGTTTTAAGAAGCTTGTAAAAGTAAAATGAAACTACTGCTAGTATCATGTTCCTGTCTAACCCGAGTGATTCAGAGATATTATTTGTACTAAACCAAAAGATGCCGCTCTTAACGGTACAGTTAATGATAAAGCGATTTAAAAAATGAAACGAACGTAATTTATAAATCTGCTGTAATAACCAAGAAGCTTAATTTTACTGCTATTCAAAATCGTCAACAATAAATTTTTTACGGCTGTAATAGTTGATAGATTTGTAGAGAATTGCACGTGCCATGGCTATTTATAGTATCATACTGTCAGAAATTTGGTCTCGGCACGGAGAATGTGCACGCTTCAGTGGTAGTCTCGAACTATCAGCGGTGGACTGTATTTCTGTGAGTACATGGGTCACCCTAAGTCATTACATTTGTATTAAACCGTCTATTTCGCGGGCCTTGGAGTTTTACCTCTGTTTTAATTAGAACCATGCTTGACGACGAGTCTGCTTGATATCCCCATAGTAACGAAATATCTTCCCCTTCCTTGACCTGCATCAAACCATCCTCTGTAGGAGATGTCCAGATGAATTGTTCACCTGTTAAAAACATGAAAAATGACTTGAAATGATAAATAAGATCTGAGTTAAACTATAATTGGTGGATTAACATCAACAAGTGGTGTCAGGTGACCTAGACAGGTGAAGGTAGACGACAGGTAGGGATCGGTTTCCTTGGGAAGACAGGTGAAAGTAGAGGGCAGGTAGATGTCGGTTTCCTTGGGAAGACTGGTGAAAGTAGAGGACAGGTAGGGGTCGGTTTCCTTGGGAAGACAGGTGAAAGTAGAGGGCAGGTAGATGTCGGTTTCCTTGGGAAGACTGGTGAAAGTAGAGGACAGGTAGATGTCGGTTTCCTTGTGAAGACAGGTGAAAGTAGAGGACAGGTAGGGATCGGTTTCCTTGGGAAGACAGGTGAAAGTAGAGGACAGGTAGGGATCGGTTTCCTTGGGAAGATAGGTGAAAGTAGAGGACAGGTAGGGGTCGGTTTCCTAGGGAAGACAGGTGAAAGTAAATTGTTTAAGTGGCATTTAGTAAATGAATGAGAATAACACATGACACAATTATATGGAATACAAGTTATTTGAAGGGTTTATTTCAGCGACGTTTCGACGAGGGTTTTGTCGTCTTTATCATTCATTGCTTGATAAAGCCGCCAGAAACCTCGTCGAAACGTCACTGAAATGAAATGAAATGGGGTTTAACGTCCTACTGTTCTGCTCGGAACTGGGCTAATGAAGACGGGCATACGCCATACAGTGTGCTATGAGGGGAAATTTTGCCCGGACAGCGGCACTACGGCCTACTCTTATATCGAATTCCAACTGTCAAGGGATCTTTTACGTGCACGCCAATGTGTACACGGGACCTCGGTTTTTCCTTTCCATCCGAAAAACGTCACTGAAATAAACTCTTCAAGTAACTTGTATTCCATGTGTCATGTGTTATAGGTGAAAGTAAGGTTTGATTTCCCTGGGAAGATAGAATAAAAGTAGAATTTAACTTTAATGGGAAGACAAGTACAGGAAAAGCCGAGTTTGATTTACGAGAAATACAGGATAAACATAGGGTTTTGATTCCCGATCGAATCTGGAACCTCTTATTTTGTATTCACCGGGCCACCGCGACTCCCGTAGTAGGGTTCTCAAATCTACAGAACTGACGTTCGTATGTCCAACGTTCGAGAACTTTCCCGTTGAAGATGATGTCAGTTTTAGTTTATTTGCAAAAAAAATTACGGCCAAGATCAGAAAAAAATATTTCAAATGAACCAATTTGGTGCCGTGTCAAAACCTTCAGATACCAAACCAAACCGCCACACCGCGTTTTTTACATGAGATAGAAAAACCGAGGTCCCCTGTACACGTTAGTATGCACGTAAAATAACCCCTGGAATTCGAACTAATAATAGGCTGTGGTGCCGGTGTCCGGGCAAAATGTCTTTCACAGCAAACCTTATGACGTATGTCCGTCTTCATTACCCCAGTCTGTGTTGCACAATAGGACGTTAAACCCCATTTCCAGCTGTCTAGTTGTTAGGATGTCATGTTGGAATTCGATATAAGTGTAGGCCGTAGCTCCGCTATCCGAGCAAAATTTTCCTCAAAGCACACTGCATGGAGTATGCCTGTCTTCATTAGCTCAGTCTGAGCAGAACAGTAGGACGTTAAACCCCATTTCATTTCCAACCTTATTTCATTTCATTTGTCAATATCCATGTGTCAATAATTTAACATTCAAAATATTACATACCCTTTTTCATTTATCGGGAATTATATTAATATGTATGTGTTAAAAATATATGTATATATTTATTTCATTCCCGGGGAATTATTAAAGATATATATGTTTTAAAAATATATATGTATCTATTTCATTTCCCGGGAATTATACATATTATTTATGTTTCTAATATATATATATCTATTTCATTCCCCGGGAATTATAAATATATATATATATATATCTATTTCATTCCCCGGGAATTATAAATATATATATATATATATATATATATATATATATATATTTATATATATATATCTATTTCATTTCCCGGGAATTATAAATAATGATTATGTGTTAAAAATATACTATTTCATTCCCCGGGAATTATAGATAATGATTATGTAATAAAAATATCTATTTCATTCCCCGGGAATTATAAATAATATCCATAATTTAAAATCTAAATATCAGTAACTTAAAGATAAGTACAACAATTACTGTATGTATTGTTTAATGGTCGAGAGCGAGATATTGAGTAATATATTGTAACAACATGAGGGCCGTAGGCCCGAATGTTTTTACAATATATTACGCAATGTCGTAAGCTCGAGACCATTAAACATCTTAAAATACTGACACTCCGCAAAGCTTTTACGTCACACTAGTCCAATATCTCACTGGTATGAATAAAGTACTATTGGCAAGTTGCCCTTACGATTATTTGAAATAATGTTACGCCAACATCAAAGGGTGACGTCACATCTGTATTTTAATTCTATTTAAGCTACGTTTCAACAAGGATTCTCATATCGTTATCAGTATTGTGCTTGATAACGACAAGGGAATCATTGTTGAAACGTAGCTTTAATATAAATACAGTACATTTGTAATTGCTATCCATGGAACGGTTGTGTTTATTTTTAATGTGTTCAATTACTAAATGCCATTCAAACAGTATATCACTTACTTACCATTGATCATTACTGCACAAACTAACAGCAAGACACAGAAACTAACCGCCATCTTTCAATGATAAACTCGTATTCTATAAGAATAAATATTTTAAATCTTAACCTTTTGAGAAATAAATAAATAGATGTTATTCAAAAAAGAGCAACGCTACCCCTGTAATATAAGTCCACATTCCTGATTTGATTGTTATGGTAGTTTTTAAAGAGCGAGCGAGAGAGAAATAGGGTTTAACGACCACTCGACACAGACTAGGTCATTTCGGGACTAACATATGGTTTAATTTTTTTTCAATAAATCGCTTGCGCGTAGGGGTCTTTAGCAGTGGGAGGAAACCGGAGGACCCGGAGAAAACCCACGAGGTTGGACAGGCGACCCTACTACAGCGCGCACGTGCTAACCATTCGGCCATCCAACACCCCGGTACTTTTTAAAATGAAGAGAATGAAATATGAAATGGCTGTAATATGACAAGATGGAAAAGAGGCTAGGCATTGAGTTTGTTTTGCCAAATTTACAGACTAAGCAAACATCTTGGGATCGGGGCATGCACCAAAATACATAGTTGCTGTCCTTACGGTACAAGGAATAAATATGAAAAGATCCAAGATGACCCATTCAGAATTGCAGCCTGTAGACGATAAGTACAAAATTTGGATGTGGATCTACCACTGGAGGTTGGGCATGGAACGATATAAAAAGACACAACCCTATTATTGAAATGATTGATTACGCCGAAATTGAATAATTGCAACCTGTAGAGTATTTATACCGACAAAGTATTTGCAAAAGAAAGTGGGTGTGGCACTGCCCAACAGGATCTGATCATGCACCAAAATCGATAGATGCTGTCCGTAAGGTATAAGGAATAAGTATATCAAGTTCCGAGATAATCCATTCAGAATTATGGCGTTAAACACACAAATTGGGCGTGGCCCTGCCCTTGGGGGTCGGGACATACACAGACATCAACAGTTTCCGCCCTAAAGCTATAAGAAATACACCAAAAATCAATAGTTGCCCTCTCTAGGCTATGAGGAATACATGCCAAGTTCCAAAATGATCCAATCAAAATTGCAGTCTGTATACGATAAACACAAAAATAGGGCGTGGCTCTGCCCCTGGGGTTCGGGACATGCAGCAAAATGAATATTTGCCGTGTCTAGGCTATAAGGAATACATATGCCAAGTTCCAAAACAATCCTGTCAGAATTGCAGTGTGTATACGATAAACACAAAAAATGGGCGTGGCTCTGTCCCTGGGGGTCGGAACATGCACCAAAATCAACAGTTGCCGTCTCTATGCTATGAGGAATACATATGTCAAGTTCCACAATGATCCAATCAGAATTGCAGTCTGTATACGATAAACACAAACAAATTGGGCGTGGTTCTGCCCCTGGGGGTCGGGGCATGCACCAAAATAAATAGTTGTGGTCTCTACGCTATGAGAAATACATATACCAAGTTCCAGGACGAGGCAACACACGGGCACATAAAATGGGCGTGGCTCTAAAAATTATTGATTCTAAAACTAACAAACTAGGTCATCTCGGGACTAACATATAGTTCATAGGTCATGGGGTCATAATTTAGCAGTGGCCAACCTCGTGGGTTTTCTCCGAGTCCTCCGGTTTGATCCCACTGCTAAAGACCCCTACGCGCAAGCGAATTATTGAAATAAAATTAAACCATATGTTAGTCCCGAAATAACCTAGTTTGTGTCGAGTGGAAGTTAAACCCCCATTTCTATCTCTATCTCGCTTTAGTAGTGGGAGAAACCATAAGCCCCCCCCCCCCCACCCTCCACCCCCCACCCCCCTGTCTTCTTCGGTTTACAACTTTGAGATATCACTGATTATGTTTTTAACATTTGTTAACATTTGACAGTCGAAATCGAAATCGAAACCAAACTTCTTCCTTATTGACTCGAAACCAAATATGAACATTAGTCAATGATTAATCCGTTACACATCAAATATAACGTATATTATCACACACCCCAAATCACACAGAACCAAATCAGATCTTCGACCATAGTTTCGTATCATCAAATTATTCTAGTATATTACTTACGCAATTTCTCTTTTAGCTCGAATCCGTGATTTATCAAAGTACGTAATTTACTTCTCTTTCAGTTTGTAACCTATCCTATACGTCACGTGATAAGGCCTATGATACAATACAGGTTTTGTTATCTCCTTTTTAATGTTTGACATTAAACCTGTTTTTAAATCGGCACGTGATTTAATATCTCTTGAGTTGAATATGAATAAAGAACTTGACAAAATAGTAACGTATATAAAAAGAATGAAATAGAGTTAGTATATATAGTATATATAGTATATAGTGAAAAGTATATCTACCCACATAACGACACTAGTTAATGATGTAATATGCAGGGGCGCCAGAAAGGCGCGAGAGCCGGGGGGGGGGGTCTCCCCCCGACCTCTAGAAAATTTTGAAATATGTCAATTCCGAGAACGCTGTTTAGAGCGCCTCTAGCATTCCAAATTCCAACATAAAATCCTTTAAAATACATGATAATGAAAGAGACACAATTTCCGTATCATGAGCAATTCTATCATTTAAAAATGAATAGACTAGTAAATAGGTTGAAAACTTCCATCATTAGGGCATGGGTATACATGTATACCCCAGAAAATGGCAGGATACCATTTGTATACCCTGGTACCCGGGTTCCAGCGCCCCTGGCAATATGTAAAGTAACGTCTCTAGTCGGTTGTGTGATCACCTTTTAAATGATGACAATAAACCTATTTTTAAATCGACACCTGATTTAATATCTCTGAGTTGAATATGAATAAAGAAAAAAAAAACATGGCGACATAGTGACGTATAAAAATAAAATAAAACATAGTTATTATATAGTGAAAAGTATATCTACCCCCTTAACGGCACTATTTAATAAATCTCTATGCAAACAAATATTCCTAAAGATATAGAAACAAGCAAATGGTATGCCACTTTTCAAAAAAGTAGACAGATGAAATGTTGGGGTTTTTTTTTTGGTTGCTTTTTTAAACTATACTTTTATTCGGGATATCTGAATGGGATTGGGTAACGATTATGTACAATCGCTCTCCCTAAATAATATACATGATATACATACATAATATTAATACAGAGAATGTAGGGGTCTATATTCATAGTTAAACTGGCAAACACGCCCATACATATTGTAGGTTATAGTATACATACAAATGTTACGAATTATTCACCCATATCGTTGTTATGTGCTATCAGTAAATTACTTAATATCTACAATTATTGGTCTTTTAACAGTGTACTAAATGTCCACCGGTCTGACTTTTAACAGGGGGGTGGATGGCCGAATGGTTAGCACGTGCGTGCTGTATCACAAGGCCTGTCATTGAGGCAACTGGCGTGGTTTCGAATCTCCGGTTGTACGTGACAAGGAGTAGGGTCGCCTGTCCAGCCTCGTGGGTTTTCTCCGGGTCCTTCGGTTTCCTCCCACTGCTAAAGACCGTTACGCGCAAGCGAATTATTGAAATAAAATTAACCCATATGTTAGTCCCGAAATGACCTAGTTTGTGTCGAGAGGGCGTTAAACCCCATCTCTTTCTCTCTCCTCTCTCTCTCTCTCTCTGACCTTTAACCTAAAATTTGGACTGTACACCAACTCATTGAATTATACGACAGCCTATTGTAGACATTAGACAATGAGTGAATCATGCATGCTTACTAAAGAAAACCTAATTACGGAATACATGACAAATTTCTTCACTGACTTAATATTTATAAGTGATTGGTATCAAATTGGTTTTTTTTAATACACTTACTCGTCGCCCCCACCTCCTACTGTAGAATGTATTATTGGGCGATAAAGGTTTTTACATACACGGAAGCCCCGAAGATCCAAGATGGCAACCATAATATATTTTGAGAAATTGGTGCTTTTGAAAAATTGGAAAGCTAGGTCAATGGGTAGCATCTAGAAAAAAGATCCACTTTATCCGGAACTTCCAAGACAACTTGCTAAGCTGCCGGACTAAATAGTTTTAACAATCCAGACAACATTTGTTTAAAAAAATTTTTAAAAAAGCGTGGGGGGAGGGGGTCAGGTATCCCACTAAATTTCGATCCGACGGGTAAAGTGTGCAAAATAAAATGCCCGAAATCAATAGCAGGAAAACGCGTTTCAGAAAGTTCTCCCGACGATCCCGTGTCCGTTGACTCTTAACGATTGATTGGTTGATTGAAATTCGAGTCTGTCACCTAAGTTAGGGTTTTCTCCTACTATACTAAAGTGTAACAAAGTACTCTATAACTTTCATCAAATTGAACGATCGTTTAGGTGCTTAGAACTTTATGACCCCTGCTGGGTTTTTTAATAATATATGATATTGACTTTTCTACTCTGCATGGCGTATGCCCGTCTTCATTAGCCCATGTAGGAGCAGCACAGTAGGACGTTAAACCCCATTTCAATTCATGTTATACATAAGTATACAATTTCACACACCGTCCTCTTTATATTATGGGGATCACGTGGCTAAGTGGGTAAGACGCTGGCTCGCTAGCCTGGAGGTCAGGTGTTTGATCCCTGCGTTGGCCGAGAAAGGTCATCCAGATTTTCCGGCGTGGTTTCCCCTTGTCAGTGGTGCAGAACGGAGGGCCTGACAAGAACAGCTGTCTAGTCCTTCGGATGGGACGAAAAACCGAGGTCTCGTGTACACATTGGCGTGCACGTAAAAGATCCCTTGGCAGTTGGAATTCGATATAAGAGTAGGCCGTAGTGCCGCAGCCCGGGCAAATTTTCCCTCATAGCACACTAACATATGGTTTTAATTTTATTTCAATAATTCGCTTGCGCGTAGGGGTCTTTAGCAGTCAGGTACAACCGGGAATTCGAAACCACGCCAGTTGACTCAATGACAGGCCTTATGATACAGCGCGCACGTGCTTACCATTCGGCCATCCAATTCGATATAAGAGTAGGCCGTAGTGCCGCTGTCCGGGCAAAATTTCCCCCATAGCACACTGTATGGCGTATGCCTGTCTTCATTAGCCCAGGTTAGGGGCAGAACAGTGGGACGTTAAACCCCATTTCATTTCTTTATATTATTATTACTATCTGAACCGTAGTAAATTTCGTCGATTGTGGACAAACTACTGAATAATTGTTATTAAAAACGTCCCCATGTGTTTGAAATCACCTCCGGCTGAATAAAATCCATTGCACATTTAAATATCCCAACGAAAAAAAAAAGTTCTCTCTTGAAAAGTCAATGATTTGGCTTGTATTTTCGATTATGTCCATCACAACATTACACATGTCAAGTGATGAGCTAAACCATCGTAATATGTTGAAGGGGGTAAAGGTTAACAACTGAGAGTACAATCGTATGGATTCATTGCCCTGGGAATTTCAAAACGAAGCCGGGATTTTCGGAAATTAATTGGGTTACCGAGACGCACGATCATAAAATTCTGAACAGTTTTTGCACAACGGAAATAATATTCGAAGAGAAATAGAAAGACATGGAACTGTCTGCCGATAATTAAACCGATGTGCGGTACGATTTGTTGATAATAATTTGGGGTATTTATAACAAAAAAAATAACATTACCGGTATATACCTATTCAATGGCCTCGGCTATTAATTTTGCTGAGGCGAATGTAAAATACATCGGCATTTACGGATTTACCTCGGCTATAGCCGACTGCCGAGGTTAATTTACAGGACTGCTTACAGGCTCAATACCACTCTTATTGTAACTGAATAATATGTCCCAATCTTTATTCTGGTCAACAAATTGTACTATTTTAGAATATTTCAATTAATTGATGATACTAATTTCATCTTAAGACACCTTATTTGAAAATTTTGAAAAATTCAACATAATGGTTTGAAACGTCTAACGTAAACCTTTTCAAATGAAACTTCGATTTAAAAATATTTTCAAACCCTCTGGACAAGTAAAATAGGATGTAATGGATAATTTACGCAACAGGTAGGGCACTTAAACATCTAGTTCATAGATAGAGATATTATTTATTTTCTGGAGCTTTCAAGCCAGCAAGAGTGTTATTGTCCCTTTAAGTTCATCAGGAAATATTTAAGATATTCAAGGGTGAGATTCAGGACCCGTAAAACGAATGCCGTTCTTTTTGTTCTTCACCTGTGTTCAAAAGAAATAATCCCACAAATTCTCTAACCAAATAATTAACACAAGACGGAAACAAAATAACGGACTATGGGCGTATTTATGTTTGTAAACTCATTATTGGGTCCGAGAGCAATAGCTTATTCATATAACTGTCGTAACAGAGCCAAACACCGTTACGATAGACAAGCCTTGCTTCGGCCCCCTTATATGAAATGATATATCCCGTTATGTGACGTAATTAGCTTCCATTTTTGTATTTCTCGATGTCAAAGTTTGTGACGAGTTCAATTTTACAAGAGAGAACTTTTTTATTCGCCTGGATATTTAGTTGTACAATGGATTTTATTTAACCGGAGGTAATTTCAAACACACAGGTAAATTTATAATAAACAAAGTAGAGTAGTTTGTTCATAATCGATGAAATCCGTTTAAAATTTACGACGGTTAAGACTTATTCAACAAGGACGTTACTCAAATATATATTTTAGTCTTAGTATTCATTTTATTCGTGCAAACCAGTGAGGTGTTACGATAGAAATAAATGTTTATACAACCGTCTTCACGCAAGGTACCCACTTTCACGATTCACGCTAAGTTCTGTCCCTAAAACATTTATCGAGCCCAGTACGCCTATGATAACGTCGATGTGTTATGTAAATATAAATGACATTACCAACTAAAACATTGTTCAATAAAATTGAATAAATTATACTCTTGTATGTGTTAACTGACTTTGGAGATTTTTAAAGGCTCAATACCACTCTAGTTGTAACTGAATAATATGTCCTAATCTTTATTCTGGTCAACAAATTGTACTATTTTACAATATTCCAATTAATTGGTGATACAAATTTTATCTTAACACGCCTGATTCAAAAAATTAGAAAAATTCAACTAAATGATCTAAAAAGCCTAAAGTAAACCTTTTCAAATGTGACTTGGATTTAAAAATATTTTCGAACCCTCTGGACAAGTAAAATAGGATTTAATAGATAATTTACACAACAGGTAGGGCACTTAAACATCTAGTACTTAGAATAAGGCTATTATTTATTCTCTAGAGCTGTCAAGCCAGCAAGAGTGTTATTGTCCCTTTAAAGCCTCGTTTTTACTTTTCAAGTGTGAGCTGATGAAAGTATGTTTAATCGTTATGGCGATTCAGTGCACGTAAAATATCCCCTTGTAGATATAGGTGGATGAAGAGCACAGTAAAATTCCCCCACTCGCATAGCACGTGAAACCAAACAAACAAAATGAGTGTAAAGCTGCATTTCCGTACCGTAGACATAGCACACGGCAGGTTGTGTATCCTTTTATGCGGTTATTCAAGACGAAGGCCCCTCTTTTCAACATGGCACCGGCATTGTCAAGGTTCGTAAAAGAAGAAAAAAACTAATTTTAGCTTTTTCCCGTGCGGGCTACCCAAACTGTGTTTCCTTATGTGCGTTTACGGACACGGTTCCGCATGCGTTTCCGTACCGAACGCTACCTGGTCCGTTTCGAAAAACCGTACCGGACGCCGCATACAGAAACGTATCCACACCCGCACATAAGGAAACACTCTTACTAAAATTCTATGAAAGTGTTTTTTTCCGTATCCGCAACCGGACCGGAGCCGGACCGGATCCGTACTAAAGGAAATGCAGCTTTAGTTAGTCCCCAATGAGTCCGGGCGGAGTAGAACAGTAGGACGTTAAACCCTTTTCATTATAAAGTGCCGACAAGACAATTAACTTGTTTCCATTATTCAGTCGGCAATCAGTTGAAGGGATATTATTCAAGAGCTGAATCTGTCTATTGTAAATCTTTATGCCTTAAATGTTATATATAAATAATATAAGTAAAATTCAAGTATAAGAGAAAAAAACCTCTCATCGTTATCAAACGAATCGTCAGGCCATTTTAATGCGTTACGCATTGTTACGCAATGACAATCGAGTCTACACTGTTTTTCTAATGCTAGTAACTTGGCTCAGAATGGAGTGATTTGACTGAAATTTTAAACAAATTCCCATTACATTATCCATGTTTTTAACTATTATAGCGAGAACTGTCAGCTCTGTATCTAAATCTTATATAATGCCCCTTTAAATTTGACATTGGCTAAAAGCGTCTCGTAATAGTAAGTGCAGCGGGGTCCCACTACGTACACGCAAACAAGCCTCATTAGAGACTTTTGGCAATCGGAATTTTCCCATCCGTATCACGTATCCGTATGGTATATGTGATACGTTGCGTCAATGAAGTTTTAGAGTTTTGGCAGATTTTCGCGTGGCTGAGCTGGAGTAAGTTCTATTACAGCATCACCACCTGTACTGGTCAAATGCCTAGCCTACAATTTCCCGGAGGGAGTAATGTCGCTCGACAGCCGCACGGCTATTAAAACATTTTTAATGTCGAATCTTATTAAAATCTTCGACTTCGACTCGACGTCAATTTTTGGTTTCACTCATGTATCATCGCAGAAAGTTCATACCCCGTTACCATAGAATAAAATAATTTACAGATTTGCAAGGTCCCGCCTCCCTAAAATTAGCACGTAGATCAACCAGCATGCACACAGATGGTAAAAATATGAAAATTCCGAGAAAAACCCATCAAAAATAATGATTAAATTCAGCGTCTAAAAGTAGCAAAAAAGACGGTAAAAAGACGACGATGTTATACGGACCTTAATCGTATGAAAGCTTTTCGATACGAGCTGCCGTATGCGTGTGCCGTATCACGTATGAGAAATACACACACATTGGTGACGTCACACGCAAAATCCATACGGATACGCGATACGGACCAGGAAAGTACGCTTGCCAAAAGTCTCTATTAATTACACAGGTTTCACTCAAAATGAAAAACAAATACAAGAGAGCCCAAAGAAAAAAAAAAGTTTCCAAAAAGCAGCTTATCCAAATATAGCATGGATATTGATCCCATTTGATAAGAGGGTTCCTCAAAGAATTTCATTTCTATCATATTCACAAGCTGGAAACTAACGCCAATAACAAACAGCAAACTAGCTCGTTCGTTACTATCCTATAGAACAGTGATTCTATACACAGGCACACAGGTGTGCCGAAGATCTTCCTAAGTGTGGCGCGAAATTTTGAACGGCACATTAAGAAAATGCGAAAAACCATCTGATCGGCCTTGAGTGTCTACCGATAAGTTCATAGCTGTGTATTTCTTTATTTAGTTTGGGTCATTCTATGTGTCTATGACTTGTCTCTGTCTATCATGATTGTATGCCGTCTGACTTAACATGTTTTTATTTTGCAAAAGTCAAATATTTTTCATATATATTTAGACAGGTGTGCCGCAATTTTTTCATGTGTCCGAAGGTGTGCCGTTGGCAAAAAAAGGTTGTGAACCACTGCTATAGAAAGGCAGCTTGTAAGAATCTATTTTCAAAGACCTTGATGTGTTATAAACCATAAAAAACCCACTCCCGGTCTGTATTCCCCACAGTAGTGCCTGTATTATATTAATAAATCCATATCTTGTAAATAACGAACAACAAACCAACCACATGTTGACTTCACGTCGTTGCGTTAACAAACCCATTTTAATTCAACCGTCTCAAAATAAATATATTTTTTTCTTCAGGAAACTGTTTTGATGGTAGATCCATGTAAGATGTTGGCTGTTGTGATCCTTGCTCTTTGTTTACCATCTGTGGCAGTTCAGGATGCGTGTTCAATCGGATTATGCAAGTGCGCACATCGTGTTGCTCGCTGTTCTAATACAAACCTTACCTACATTCCAAAATTTCCCGATAACACCATAGCAGTCTACTTTAAATATAATTATTTACCCCGTGTTACTCCAACTACAGTTTTAAACATTAGCAACACAAGAATATCAACCGTAAATCTACACCATAATGAAATTGAGAATATTGACGAATTTGTGTTTCAAAATTTATCGCATGTTTACTTATTGGATTTAACAGATAATCTACTCACTTCAGATTCGTTACGGAATTTATTCTCTAGTTTTCAGAGAAATAGCAATCTATCCAAGATAAGTCTCAGAGGAAATCGCTTAGAATATATTCCACATAATGTTTTCGTTGACTTTAAATCCGCGGAAAAGATAACCTTGAATTTATCTCAGAATAGAATCAAGCTACTTAATATGACAGTGTTTAACGAAATAGAAAAATTGCAAATATTGGACGTTTCGAATAACAAAATATCCACCGTCATACCGGGTGTTAGCCACCATCTGCAACACCTCTCTATTTCTAATAATAGTTTGACTGTTTTACCAAACTTTTGTCTTCGTCGAAACTCCTTTCCAGAGTTAACAACATTGCAACTACAAAGCAACAAGATTGGTAATTTTGTTCCGAAATATTTTAATTGTTTGGAAAAGTTAAAACACCTCTCTATTTCTAATAACAGTTTGGCTGCTTTGCCAAACTTTTGTTATCGTCGGAACCTCTTTCCAGAGATAATGAAATTGCAACTACAACGCAACATAATTGGTACTTTCGTTCCAGAACATCTAAACTGCTTGGAAAAGCTTAAAATCTTGGATGTGAGTTCAAACTACATTGACTCATTAAAAACTGATTATTTTCATTCTTTCAAGTCTCTTAGCTCGTTGTCTATCTCAGAACAGGGTAGAACATTTTATATAGAGGAACGTGCGTTCAACAACAGCAAACTGCTAAGTCTAGACCTATCAAAGAACACATTGACTACTAACCGCCTGCATGAACATGCATTTTGTGGATTGGATCGGTTACTAAAACTAGATCTGTCTAAAAGTAATTTCTTTAAAATGGAGGAAAAACTAAATAAAACGCTAGCCCCTCTGACATCTCTTGAAGTATTGATGCTGTTGGATTGTAATTTACAGAACCTACCTACTGTCACCAGACATTATCATAATCTTACTTATTTAGATGTTGGCTGGAATCTGATTAAATCCTGGCCAACTGAGTTCTTTGAAAGGAACATTAAATTGACAGAATTAAATGCAGCCCATAATTTAATTCAGACTGTTACAAGTAAAATGCTGCCTGAAGTGTTTATGACAAGATTGAAAAAAATATCTTTAAATGATAATCCGCTCGTATGTAAGTGTGAATTGGTTTGGTTGATTCAGTGGATTCATAAGGAACCATCCAAGTTTTGGGATTATCCGGACGGCTATAGATGTCTGAATATAACGGAGAGAATTTGTTTGAATAACACCGGAGCGTTTATCTCTGTGACAACAGTAACATGTTTTTTTATCTGTGTTATTTTGATCGCTTCTGTTATCAACAAATATATCTGGCATATTAAATATCATATTTATATGTGGAGATACAGACCGAAACAGCTGCTGGATATTGCAGAGAAACACTTTGCTCATGACGCCTTTGTAGCTTACTGTGTACAAGATGGGGACTGGGTTTTACAGGATCTTCTACCTATCGTGGAAGAAGGCGAACACATTAAGTTGTGTATCCACGAAAGAGATTTTCTTGGTGGACAACTGGTCATTGATAATATTCTACAACACATGGAAAACAGTCGTAAAGTTCTTGTTGTTTTGTCCAATGATTTTGCTAGAAGTAAATGGTGTCAATTTGAAATGAGTTTAGCTCAGAAATTGGTTATAGATACGAGTATAGAGTCTATAGTAGTAGTATTACTAGAGGATATTGAAGCAGTTAATATGAGTAAACCACTGAACGCTCTATTGAAAACTACTACTTATATCAAATGGCAAGATAATGACAACAAAGATATATTTTGGCAAATGTTAAAAACATCGCTGAAACGTCAATATGAATTATAATAAGATTAAAGGTCATTGATCTGTTTACCGCAGTCGTTTCATGGTCCGTAGTTCAAACGATACAAGAACCCCACTCAACCCAATCTGAGACTGTATCCATTTCTGATGTTCGAATACAGAAATGGAATATCACTTGTTAACTGAATTTGTACACCACGAATGTTTTGGTTTGATATTATTACTAGAAGTTTAAGTTCGACCAATCTGACATCCTCCTGTAGACAATATCAATCTTTTGATGGGCCTCTTTTTAACCTGATTAAATCCAACCAGGTAGATAATCTACAGTTGATATTTTCATAGTATTTTCGGAATTAAACAGGCATTATGCAAGAGCTAAATCTGCTTATTTAGGCCTTTCTTTAGACCTGAAATGTTGTATAAATTATTAATTAAACATTAATTAACTTACCCAGGCCATAATCAACTCTCGATTCCATCGGATGGCTGCGATATAAGTAGATTTAAATACGTTTTGTGGTCGATGCGGTTACTGTAACAATGGATAATCGAGACTCTGCTTACGGTAGTAATTGCAATCGGGGCTATGCTATATTTGTATCGCCGATATCTAGGCTCGGTGTGAAGTAATTTGACTTCTTTTCATTGTCCTTGTTTTAACTATTATTGCGACAACTGTCAGATCTTTATCTAATCTTACCTAATGCAGCTATAAATGTTAACATTTCAATTTTAGAACATTTGGCGTGGATTATAATGTGAAAAATGTAAATGAAAATAAGATATTGTTCGAAAAGACAAAATGTATGTACGACATAGTGTGGCAAAGCTAGTTTTATTTTGTTAGTATTGTTTTATTTATAGTCTGTAGACGCCTAAATAGTCGAGACTAATAACAGCTATAATTAGATTTGGGTCACTGTAGTTATATATATAGTGAGGGACTGGATATTTGATAATATGTTACACTTATGAATATGGATCCAGCTCATCGATTATTTCTACGCCGTCACCCACGATACAAGGGTTAAAGCTAGTTTAGTCTCCCCACCCCACCCCAGCCCCACCCCCATTTGCATGGCGATCTTTGTTGCATTTTTGGTGTAGATTTGAACAAAAAGATTTGAATATGCATTTTCTGCCAGGTATTGGTGAATATTCATGATTTTGAGGCGGAAGGATTCAAGAGTTAAGAGGTTGGCCAGGTTGAAGTGTAGGGTGGAAAATTGCCTGTTGATTTATCTCTTCTTCTAGTTTGTGTATCTCAAGTTTTCATGATGAACACAACACGTGCTTTTGGGCAAGAGATTTCCACATGTTGCTCCATCAGTGGTAGAAAGCATTCTACCCTACGACAATTTGGGAAAAGTTAGACCGGTCTAAGAGACAAGAATTAACGTTAAAGTCAACGTGGAAATCACTGGTGATCTGTAGTCATATTATTAGTATTATTATCCCCATTTACTTAAATAGCTGAATTTGAATGAATAGCAAATCCTACGATATATTTAACGTAACTAACATGTTCTTTTGTATGTCAACTTTATCATAAATCACATTGTGCCCATCTGTTTAATAATGTTGAATTTATATTGTTGACAATGCATACTTTGTTTACTTAAGGCGCGTATAGTTTATAATTTTGCATGACCAGGGAATGAAAACTCAGATTCGTTGCCATCCTTTCGAGTCGGCCACGCAAACGTGTTAACCTGCACTAGTACCCTGGTTCAGTTTTTCTCACTTGGATATCCGTCTCTCGTGGGCATCATTGGTTTCCCCCGTGGATCATATTCCGTTCTACTCCACTATACCCCACAGGCGCCTGTAACGTGGATAATATTTCAAAAGTAACGTTAGGCCTAAGCTATATGATTATAAGTGTAGTGTCTAAAGTCTGTTACGACCATATGGTCTGAATCCGATTTCTAATTCAAGGCCAAATCACTCGCCTAAAACCGATTCTCTTTCAGTCCATATAATAATACCAATGTGAAAATAACCTGGGTTAATCCATATGATTTCAAATTATCTGCTATGACCTTGATTGTAGCTTGAGACTACGAACCAATCCAAAAAATAGTTTACAAACCAGTCTTACTAATGAAACGGCTTTCGTTTCGCTTTTGTTTTTTTAAGGGTAAATAAACCCAATCATGACCATTTACTGAATGATTTATGTAAATAATGTATATATTTCTAATTCATTTATATTTTATTGTATTATCAAAATCTGTAGTGTGTTTTACTCATTTCAAATATGTATAACGTGTATATGTTTCACTTTTGTTATAATTAATACTATTCGTTCTTTGTCTGAAATGTTTCTAAACTATTACCATTCTGTTATGTTTATAATTATTATAGATATACTTGGTAATATAATTTGGTGGCGTGTGATGGTGTTTTACCTAAATAAGTGGTTCGGTTCAATCGCTGGGGGTACTCTCTCTGATACTCGAGTATAAAGGATGAGTTTTTTGGGGGGGTTTTATTACAAAAACGAGGGGGGTTGGGATGGTCTAGGGTGTCACGCTTCGACCTCTAGCTGGCCGGTCACCTCTGGCTTGCGGTTGTGGTTTCGATCCCTGGTGTGAGCGTATGTGGCATGGAGATAGGGGCGCCTTCTCAACCTCGTGGGTTTACTCCAGTTTCCTCCCACAGGAAAGACCCCTGCGCGTGCGCTAAGATAATGAAAATAAAAAAAAGACAACTTGTCTGCGATATCACCTTCGGTGGAAGCGGACGTTAAACACTAACAACAACAACAACAACATTACAAAAACGCCAAATTCAGATATCATTCTCAATAAAACTCTTGAATCTACATATGTAAATATCTGTCTGGTTTGCGTTAATATATAATATAAATATTGTAATTTGATGTTAATAAATACGCATTTAGCATAATTTGGTCTTATATCATTTTGCTTGGGGACACTTGAGGAGAATCGGGCTACCTTCTGGCTTTTCCTAACCTCGTCTCTTGAAGGGGAGCATTTGCGCTTCCCTTAGTTTACCCGATGAGACTTATTTCCCTTCGCCAACCTCCTTTGCCATTAACGATTTATGGGATTGGTCGATGAAAATAGCATAATCATCGAGGACGGATAACTTGAATACGTGTCCCCCCCCCCTCATGGGTTAGTGGAATAGAACGGAATGAGACTACTAGGGATACCGAGGATGTATCCAGGGTCGAAGATGTTACACCCATAGTTCTTGATAAACACTTCCTGAAGGTTATATCTATTTCGTAAGGTCAACTTCAGCTTTTAAAGGGACAATAACACTCTTGCTGGCTTGACAGCTCCAGAAAATAAAACATAGCCTTGTTCTAAGTACTACATGTGTTAGTGTCTTACCTGTTGTGTAAATTATCCATTAAATCCTATTTTACTTGTCCAGAGGGTTCAAAAATATTTTTAAATCCAAGTCACATTTGAAAAGCTTTACGTCAGACTTTTCAAATCATTTAGTTGAATTTTTCCAATTTTTTAAATTAGGTAAAATTCGTATCATCAATTAATTGGAATAATGTAAAATAGTACAATTTGTTGACCAGAATAAAGATTGGGACATATTATTCAGTTACAACAGGAGTGGTATTGAGCCTTTAAACCCCTGAAGATCGCAATATTGGTGATTAAGCATACATCGTCATGGATCACTTAAAAGTGGTGGCTTTTATATAATTGTATTTATTGACCCTGAAAATACAGATTGCAACACCAAGATTGTGATCCTAATGAAGCTGGGATAATGGCAGATATAGGTTTTTACAGACACGGAAGCTCCGAAGATCCAAGATGGCAACCATAATATATTTGGTGCTTTCGAAAAATTGGAAAGCTAGGTCAATGGGTAGCATCTAGAAAAAAAAGAGCCACTTTATCCGGAACTTCCAGGGCAACTTGCTGACTGACTTAATAGTTTTAACAATCCAGACAACATTTGTCTTCTTTTAACCAAAAGTGATAAGGACCCCTTTTTCTTAGCCATGTTTGCTTAAACAAAGGGGAGCCACGGTGGCTAAGTGAGTAAGACGCTGACTCGCTAGCCTGGAGGTCGCGATTTTGACCCGGGTGTTGGCCGAGAAAGTTCAGCGTGATTTTCCGGCGTGATTTCCCCTTGTCAGTGGTGCAGGACAGAGGGCCTGTTGGTATCCTTCTAGAAACATCAACGCTGATTGGTTTATCAGAATGTCTGACGTCACATGTCAAAAGCCACTCGAATGACCCCTGACGCGACCTCCCAATACAACTGGTCAGATCTTCATGTATTAGAGGCCATCGAAAGTATAAACGAAATATAGATCTGTATTTTAATCTGATTGAGTTAGCAAGTGATTTACATTGTTGTGTATGTCTGCATATTGCAAGCCTTTCTGTTATATAAATTATTAATTAGACATTTATATATTTTAATTTAAAAGTGGATAATCGAGGCTTTACTTGTTGTCATAGCAATAATAGCAATGGTAACCGAGACTACACTATTCTGATCAACATTCATAACTTCGTAGGAATAATGTATTTTGACTGAAATTTTCAATTTTCAGTATATTTCCGTTTCATTATCTATTTTAAAATTATTGTACCGAGAACTGCTAGTTCTTTATCTAAATCTTACATACTGCACCTTTAAAATATTTTTTAATACTGTTGACCTTCTATTCCGGATATTCATATCAGTTATGTTGTAGTTGTGTAAGCGAAAGGGCTTAAAGTATATTATCGCTCGTAATTTGGCAATATATGGGACAACTAATACGACTAGACGTATTTGATTTGGGCAAAAGTAAGTATATTACATCTCGTAATATGGCAATATATGGGACAAATAATACGATTAGACGTATTTGATTTGGGCAAAAGTAAAATTGGTCATTTCATTGGATTTTATATGTTGAATTGAAACTTTTGTGGGATGAGAGTGAAAGAGAGAGAAATGGGGTTTAACGTTCACGCGACACAAAGTAGGTCATTACGGGACTAACATATCGTTCAATTTTATTTCAATAATTTGCTTTCGTGAAGGGGTCTTTAGCAGTGGGAGGAAACCGGGGGACCCAGGAAAAACCCACGAAGTTGGACCCTACTCCTTGTCACGGTCAAAAGGAGAATCGAAACCATGACACCTGACTCTATGACAGACCTTCCGAGCCAACGTGCACGCGCTAACCATTCGGCCACCTAAGCCCTCTTTTGTGAGGTGAAAATTTGTCTTTGAACATATCACTTCCATAGGCGTACGAGTCGGGGGGAGGAGGGGTAAGGGTGTCAGCTATCCCACTAAAGTTCGGTCCGACGGGTAAAGTGTGCAAAATAAAATGCCCGAAATCAATAGCAGGAAAACGCGTTTCAAAAACTTCTCCCGACGATCTCGTGTCCGTTGACTCTTAACGATTGATTAGTTGATTGGAATCCGAGTCTACCGCCTAAGTTAGGCTATATTAGATCACTTTGAAGTTGCTGTATTCAAGGGCTGGAATAGCAGGAAAACGCGTTTATAATCTTTCTTAAGGGGAGGAGGGGGGGCGCTGTACATGGTACCTTTCCCCTCTCGCAGACGACCGGTATCCGAAATCTTTTTGCGCTTTAAAGGTTCTGCCACCCACCCCCCTTAACATTGATCAAACCCGTACGCCTATGCAACACGGGACCATTTTATATATAAACTTATCTGATATTTATACATTTATCTTGGTAAGAGGAGTCCGGTGAAACATCCTTCATAAAAGGCTACTGGGCCCTGTTTCACAAAAACTTAAATCTCCTTAAAATCGCATTTCAGGTTCTGCCTCCCGCCCCCTTAACATTCATGGAGTCCGTACGCCTATAACAACGTCGATAGATAACACAAGTGTTGTGGAATGTCAATATAAATGACATTGTAAGCAAACTAAAACATGGTTCAATTGTAAATTATACTCTTCTATATGTTAAAGATGGGTTCCCAGAAAAGGATTTATCGGGTGGTTATTTCCAATAAAAGTATGGTAATTTTGGTATATATGGAAAGTAGAGATATCCAATCTTACTAGAAAAATACTGGATTCCCCGAAAAAAACTTATGGAGCGTATACAGGACAAAAATGTAAGGGTTCCCCTAATCAACAGCCAGACGATTAGGAATTCTGCACGCGTGATGTCAAAGGTCACAGGCGAAAATTGAGAGCTTGATGTACAACTTTAAGAAGAGTTAGACGTACAACACTTTCTGAGATAACTTTTTAATTGAGAGTCGATAAAAGTATGTTTAATGGTTATGGTGATTCAGTGCACGTAAAATATCCCCTTGTAGATATAGTTGAATGAAGAGTAACCGAGAACGCCAGAGTAAAATCCCCCACTCGCATTGCACGTGAAACCATAGAAACAAAATGAGTGTAAGTTAGCCTGCAATGAGCAGTAGGACGTCAAACCCCATTTCATTTCTTTATCTCTGAAATGAGCCAAGTATAACGAGACATTTAACCACGTTCCATTATTCAATTGGCAAACAGTTAAATTAGCCATTCGCTATAAGTAGACGGTATAATGAAAACGTCTCCTAATAGTACGTGCAGGAGGACCGCACACAGACAACCCCTCTAAGTCACACCAAACTAACTACCACAGGCTTCACTGAAAATGAAAAAAAAATAAACGACAGCCTCACAAATTTGATAAAGGGATCCTCTGATCTCTATCGTGTTCATAAGCTTGAAAAATCCTTTAAAAACTGAAGCATCTATCACGTGTACAGGGTTTCGGGTAAAAGGGGTGGGGTAACTCCGGAACAGAAGGTTGCAGACGACTGAATATTTAGAGCTATCCTCATCTCATGACTATAATTTGCACATCAGATTTGATCCAAACCTATTAAAGACTTCAATCTCTATCATGTTCACAAGTTTTTTGTAAAAGGGAGCGTCGTAGCTTTGGAAAGCTGAATAGCAATAAGGTTCGTCTTCTCGGGACCGAAATTCTTTACACCGAATTTGAAAAATCCGTTTACAAACTGTTGTCCAACGACCTGGATGGTGGAGATATGAAGGCCGTTAAACCCCATTTCATTTCATCTGTATCATCCGCCTGAAAATAAATATTTATTTCTTCAGGGAACTGTTTTGATGGTAGATCCATGTAAGATGTTGGCTGTTGTGATCATTGCTCTTTGTTTTCCATCTGTGGCAGTTCAGGATGCGTGTTCAACCGGACTATGCAAGTGCGCAGATCAGATTGCTCGCTGTTATAATACAAACCTTACCTACATTCCAAAATTTCCCAGTAACACTATAGCAGTCTACTTAAAGTATAATTATTTACCTTATATCAGCCCAGCTACAGTTTTAAACATAAGCAACACAAAAATATCAAGCATAACTCTACACCATAATGAAATTCGGTATATTGACGAAAATGTGTTTCAAAATCTATCGCAGGTTTACTTATTGGATTTAACAGATAATCTACTCACTTCAGATTCGTTGCGGAATTTATTCTCCAGTTTTCAGAGAAATAGCAAACTCTCCAAGATTTCCCTCAGTAGGAATCTTTTAGAAGTTATTCCACATGATACTTTTCTTGACTTTAAATCCACGGAAAGGATAACCTTGGATTTATCTCAGAATAGAATCAAACTAATTAATATGACAGTATTTAACGAAATAGAAAAATTGCAAAAATTAGATGTTTCGCATAACGATATCTCGAGCGTCATAACGGGCGTTAGCCACCATCTGCAACACCTCTCTATTTCTAATAACAATTTGGTTGCTTTACCAAACCTTTGTCTTAGCCAGAACTCCTTTCCAGATTTAACAAAATTGCTACTACAAAGCAACATGATT